GAAGGAAGTATTATATAAAAATGTGTAGATATATAAAGCTATAGAAATGATCTGGTCGATCAGTCTGGACTAACAGGATTTTTCGTCAGGCCAAGTCCGTTTGAGCGCCTTCCATGTCGAATTTTTTATCCAAGTTTTAAAGCATGTTCTTCATGAAGTGTAGAACATTGCCACAAAACTATATAAAAATAATAATCGACAAGTCAGTCAAATAATGTTTCAAAAAATATGGTGCTTTATGTGTGTGTGTGTGTGTGTATATATATTTATATACAAGGCACCACATTTCAATAATTTATTTAACTGTTTTCCTTATCGAAGTAGTATATGAATTTTTGTGGATATGTTCTTACAATTCATGAAAAACATGCTAACAAAATTTATCAAAAAACTCGATTCGGAGATCCCTCATACGGGCTTGGCCGGATAGTGGTCCCCTAAGTCCAGAGTGACCAAATCATTCCTCGTACCTCTATAAAGCAAAATAGCAGATATTGTCATTTATAAAATTAAAGTGCAAAATCACAACTACCCACAACGCGTTTTCATATGTTGAAAATGTTTGTGCAATTTTTTGTTTGTTAAACTTTTTAAATATATCTTTTTCAATAAAAGTAATTAAGACATCATTCATCAAAGCATCTTCCATTCAATCGTACAATCAGTTCTTCTTTGATTCCGCCATTCCTTGCAGTGATTTGGAGTTCGATTGTTGGAGTAACACTTGTGCCGCCCAATTTTTTTTCCGCATGTTTTTGTAAAGTCAGTGTTCCAACTCTTAAAATATATACATTGACATCCACTATTTTTGAAATAATTTTCTAAATAGGACTAAAACATGGATAAATTTATAAATAATCCTACCAATGTTTTATTCCCAAAACATGACTCAATAACTCCTGCTTTGAGAAGTTTTAATGAATTTATAAAAAGGACTAACCGAGTCTTATTTGGGTAATAAAACATATTTAGTCCTATTTTTTTTTAACTTTGTGTATGTTTTGATCCTTTATTGAGCAATTTCTATTTTTTCAATGGTGGTGTCAATTTTATTTTTTTGAAAGATTACATACATCTATATGTAAATTATTTTTTTCAGTGGTGTCAATTATAATTTTTTTTTTGCAGCAATAATTTTTTTAAAAATTACACATACCTATATATGAAAAAGAAAAACTTAAGTGGTGTCAATTGACACCACAACTCTATAGGTGGCTCCGCCACTGTGAGCATGTAGATGGCACTAATAAATATTCGTATGTAGTATCAAAATATATAGATTATGAAAATGAGAAAGATAATGGTTCAATTGAAAATGTATTTAAAGTTTATTCAAATTAATTAAAGTTATTATGACTCGGAAAATTAGACACTATGTATGACGAGTTCGTATACCGTGGTATCACCTCACGGTGATCACCGTGCTCCCATACCTAAAACGGCGTAGTTTCGTACAATTTAAAAAAATCGCGTGAACAGTAACTTTATTTTTTATTTTCATCCTAGCAGTATGAATGATGTAACTTGTGCATAATTAGATGTAACTCGTGTTGTTATAAATGTAACTTCAATTAACAACAAATGTAAATCATGCCCAGAAATGTAACTCATGTTTAATGAAAAAAGGGAGTCTAATTGTCCAATTATTTACATAAATAGTGCATATATTTGGTTTTCAATATAAGGGCTATAAAAATGATTTTTTTTAATGTTTTTTCTTTGATTCTTTGAATAACAATGGCTTATTATGTTGTGAGAACTCACGTTATATTGCGGTGTAACTCACATTATGTAAAATGTAAATCATGTGTAAATAGGATGTAACTTGTTGAGAAAAGTTGACATGTAACTCACGTTAATAGATATGTAATTTTAGGAAAATCCAGATGTAACTTTAGTGTGTGCAAGATGTAAGTTGAGAAAGCTAAAAATAATTCATTGCAATAATCCTGATGTACTAATTAATATACTCTCTTTCGATAGGAAAAGGTAATAGTTGAAGGATTTATGGCGATTCAGAATAGTGCGTGGTGGATGAAGCTTGGTTATTTCAAGTACACCTATTTCCGTTCTGGTGCAGCAGCTGGCAGCCGGAGAGATGGTGGCAGCACCAAACAGTCTCGTTGAATCACCTTAGCGCTAATTAAGACATTCAAATTCAGGCCATGGAAGATGACTATGAAATATGGCAGATCCAACCACGGAAAATAGCTATTTGGCCGTCAATTGCTCACTCAGAATTTATCGGAGATGCTTACCTTCTCTGCTCTCTTTGGCGCTGCACATGGATAACCTATTCTAACAAAACGAGAGCAATGGGAAACGGGAGGGGTGCAGGTTCTTTCCTCTCTTTTTATCCCAAAACGATGCCGTATTGGGATCGTATACCGTGGTATCACCCCACGGTGAGCACTGTGCTCCCATACGTAAAACGGCGTAGTTTCTTACAATTTAAAAAAAAATCGCGTGAACAATAACTTTATTTTTAATTTTCATCCCAGCAGCATGAATGATGTAACTTGTGCATAATTAGATGTAACTCGTGTTGTTATAAATGTAACTTCAGTTAACAACAAATGTAAATCGTGCCCAGAAATGTAACTCATGTTTAATGAAAAAAGGGAGTCTAATTGTCCAATTATTTACATAAATAGTGCAAATATTTGGTTTTCAATATAAGGGCTATAAAAATGATTTTTTTAATTTTTTTTCTTTGATTCTTTGAATAACAATGGATTATTATGTTGTGAGAACTTTATATTGCGGTGTAACTCACATTATGTAAAATGTAAATCATGTGTAAATAGGATGTAACTTGTTGAGAAAAGTTGACATGTAACTCACGTTAATAGATATGTGATTTTAGGCAAGATGTACGTTGAGAAAGCTAAAAATAATTCATTGCAATAATCCTGATGTACTAATTAATAAACTCTGTTTCAATAGGAAAAGGTAATAGTTGAAGGATTTATGGCGATTCAGAATAGTGCGTGGTGGAGGAAGCTTGGTTATTTCAAGTACACCTATTTCCGTTCTGGTGCAGCAGCCGGCAGCCGGAGAGATGGTGGCAACACCAAACAGTCTCGTTGAATCACATTAGGGCTAATTAAGACATTCAAATTCAGGCCATGGAAGATGGCAGATCCAACCATGGAAAATAGCTATTTGGCCGTCAATTGCTCAATCGGAATTTATCGGAGATGCTCACCTTCTCTGCTCTCTTTGGCGCTGCACATGGATAACCTATTCTAACAAAACGAGAGCAATGGGAAATCAGAGGGGTGCAAGTTCTTTCCTCTCTTTTTATCCCAAAAAGATGTCATATTGGGATCGATACACCATCCGCGTGGGGGGCCGATTCCACGGTATAATTTGCGATGTATGACTAGAAAGAATATTTTCTAAATTAGTTCCTGTCTCGGGCATCAAAATTCTACTAGTCAGAGGCGGACCCAGGAAGTTTGTATTGGGAGGGCGGTAACTAAAACAAAATATTTTTTGGGAGGGCGAAAATTATTTTTTATTATATATATACACTAAAAATTTTGTTGTTGGGGTGGCGACCGCCCCCCTGGGTCTGTACTACGGTCCGCCCCTGCTACTAGTAAAAAACAACCCCGACGATACAATGTGAAATGCTTTTTAAAAAAAAGCATTTCTACTAAACGCTCCCCGAGAGAAATAATCCATTTGGGAGACTTGGATGCATCAACTATCTGCAACTGTACAAGCTAAAAAAAATTAAAAAAGAATATAGTCCAATTTTAAAATAAATAAGAGATGCAAACGTTGACTCTAAAATGGAAGTGACTACCGAGTATAATTTTATTAGGAGATCGACGACGTACGTAGTGATAATTTTGATTTGAATTTGTGGTTTAAATCACGTTAAAATTGGCATGCAATATTGATTGTATGACTTGATTAACCAAATGAAAGCAGACAAAAAACAGGGGTAGAAGAATATATCAAAAGAATACTATCGTATAAGCTAAAGGCGGTACATATATACGAAGTATATGAATATAATTAAAAAAACTAGCTCCCAACTTGAACATATGCATGCAAGTGTGTTCAACTCCATCACATCGCATCCTGATTACGATCTGCGACTGCCGCTTATTTAAAGTCTTTTCCTTGATGGCATTATGACTAATCCACTTGCCGAAGCACTTTATATACTCCCTCTACCTCTTACAGAGTAATTTGGATTATCTCAATAATCAAAATTGAGTGTTTTAATAATCTCAATAATTATCTCAATAATTTTTTCAAAGTAAAAATTGTTTGATTAAGGATGTTTTACCTTGGATTGTAATTTCACTACTACATTTTTGGGCCTATTGTAACATTAAAATTGTAACAGTTGCTTAAAATGTTACAATAGATCAGCCTATTGTAATGGTTTTGAATGTATCGTTACACTAGATACTATCTTCATGTAACACTTCTATTGTGTTCGGTAGAGTGTTACATTCCTTTGATAATTGTTACCTTTAATTGAAGCTAATGTAACACCTTTAATATCGAGTAAATGGTCAGTTTGGTCCTCGAAGTTGCAAAAAAGGCGTCAAATAAGTCTTTTTTGGATCTTATTCATTAAGTCTAGTTTACCCATACCAAATTTCAGCTTAAAATTCAATCGGGAAGACATTCAAATGAATTCTTGAAAATAACTGCACTTTTAACGGCACAATTAACTTCAATAATTCATTTGAATGTCTTCACGATTGAATTTTTATCTGAAATTTGGTATGAGTAAACTAGACTTAATGAATAAGATTCTCAAAAACTTTCATCAAAAAATTCCACCGGGAGCCACCTCAAATGACACGTCCGGACAAAATCTTCTATATAAGGACTTATTTGACTCCTTTTTTGCAACTTCGAGGACCAAACTGATCCTTATCCCCTTTAATATCTAATGGAAAAAATGAGTGCCAAAATATAAACTTGGGCCATTAAGAAGCCCAAGCCCAAAGTTAGAAGCGATCAATTAAAATGCCCTAAGATAACTAAAAGCTAAAGTATTGAAGCACTTCCTTAGAGGATTAGACATGGCAGAAGGGTGGGTATTGGTACACTCAACATCTTCGTTTTTTCCAGTTTTTCTTCCTGGAATCCCTTCCCCAATTCTTATTTCATTTATTATTCATCAACGAAGAGATGCTTGGATACCTGCTAGCTTAACCGTACCTGCTAGCTTAGCCGGCGACGGACGACTTGGAGAAGTTCTGAATCGCGATACACTCTTCTCGAGCTCAGGTTTCATCAGCTTCTTCCATCTTTTTCACTATCTAAGCCGGGTAATACATGACTCACGTCTTCTTGTATTCCATGAATTTTCTCGTTTGGACCTTCCAGGGTTTTGAACCCTAGACTTTTAAATTTTTTCTTAATATTTGTGCCCGTTCTTAGATTTCTACGCAGTGTATCATTTGTGGTCTCCCCTGATTTTCTCTCTTTATTCATTCATGGATGGCTTTATTAAAGTTGGGTTTAGAAATTCAAAGGTTATACATATCAGAATTTTGTCAGTTGTTTATTGTTTAGTGCAACCTTGTTTTTGCTCTCTGCTTTTTAGGAGCTTGCTCTATAAATCTTCTATGGGTTAATCAAGTTCAAGAAGGATAAGAGCAACCATACGTTAGTTCTGCACAAAAAGTGTTCGAAGAAATGTCTAAACTAGAAAAGCGGGTATTTTTTCTTCTTCCTCTTCATGATTTCACCCAAGATGTTATTCTGTTCCTTGCAACATTTTCGTATTAAAAAACATATTTTTCAGGCTTTGTTCATTTTGAGGAAAAGACAAGTATTACATTCTGGAAGATTAAGTTGCAATATTGATATTTAAGTTAAGTTTTGTGTTTTACGTTCTTGATTAGTTTTTTATTTGCACTAGTTTATTGTTTGAACTGAATTTTTATATATCATAATCTTTGCTATTTCTTTTCAAATAAAAATTGAAAACGATGATTATTTGATTACTTCAGGTTTAGTTTCAGATGTATGTCAATCTTACTCCTTCAGTTGGTGATTGTCATAGGTCGTTTGATGGTAAGCTGTGTAATAATTTTTTGATTGATGAATCATAAACTATTTAGATTATAAGTTTTTTTTGTTATATATCCTATTGTTTTGATACAATAAAGAAGATAGAATATTTAACACCATTTCATATTATATCCCTACTTCTTAAGGGACAACTAGTGAAACTCAATTGGGAAAAATTAATTAGCCTTTGTTTCTTCATCACTGATACAATTATTTCTTAAAGTTGTTGCTAGCTAGTTGCTGAGGTGATTTGTTGGCAAAAATCTTTAATTTGCCTTGGGTTTTTCTCCACCTTAGGTGCTCCAATGGGTTCTTATACGAAACAGTATGTATGGTTAGTTGTTTCAAAGATGTGAGTTCTAACTCTAGTCCCAATACATACCTGCTCCTATATATACTGATGCAGAAATTTATATGGATGCTAATATTTTGAAATATTTACTTTACAGATAAGAAATTCTTTCGACATATGGAGATGAAAAGAATGGAACTGGATAATGGAGGGTCTCGCCTTACAAAACTAGATGAGAAATTGGCATGGATGCCTCAAAGGATGAGAAATCTATATACTACCTCCGTCCTAGGGATAAGTTCCCACTTTCCTTTTTTGGCAGTCCCAACAAAAAGTTCCCATTTCCCTAAATGGAAAGATATCCTACATCAAAACAGTGCCAAACAGTGCAAAACAGTGTCAAAACAGTGCCAAACAGTGTCGAAACAGTGCCAAACAGTAAAATTTAACCCTCAGTAACTTTATTTCCTTAATATGTGTGAAAGTCAACCCGGGAACTTCTCCCTGGGACGGAGGGAGTATTAGAATTTGGGTTTTGTATTATATGTATATTTTTGTAATTAATATGAAATTTTAGACTTCATAGATTCATGTTGTGCAATGTACAAAAATTCTACAAATGTATTAAATGTGATATTTATTGGTTATATATAAATGTATTGATTCTTAATACTATTTCTAATTTATGTGCAAATTAGTCAAGTTATATAAACATGCACGTTTAGTAAATACTCCATATTACATTAGATAATAAATCTAACATGTGCTATATATTTTCGTGAAAGTGTTACATTTGCTCAAGTTAAAATCTGTTACATTTGTCATAGTGGCTTTGGTAACACTTTTGATTTATTTAGAAAAGTGTTACAATAGTTTTAAAAATTGTTACATACCGTTACATTAGAGAAAAGGTAACGCGAGCGAATGTAACGGCACAAAAATGTTACATTTAGTATAATGTAACAGTTTTTTGGACCAAGAGTAACGGAATTGAGTGTTTCAAAAGGTCCTTAAATGTAGTAGTGTTTGATGGTCTGGTCTGATCTGATTTGGTCTGGTTTCTTTGTATTTTTATAACTATCCAAGTCTGGTCTGGTCTGGTCTAGACATATTACAATCCAAGTAAAAGCATCCTAAGATTCATTTCTGATAAAAGATAATTAAGATCCACAAATTCTCACTGTCTTTCCCCCGAAGGTTTTCATTGCAAAATGCACAATTATTTACACAATAATGCAATAAGGAAATTTGAGTATGTTTTGAAAAAATAGTTTTATTGAACATATAATATAATGAACTTATTGATGATAGTTGTAATGTTATAGATATATTTATTATTTTTAATATATATGTGATGATTAATTGTCATTTAAGAGTACAATTTATTTTCTCAAATAAAAATGGGAACCTTTAGATGGAACATTTTTTATTTTAGGTGAGACATTTAAAAATAGAAAGTGAGAATTTAAGCTTGTAGAAGGGACTAGGGAGTAAATTACTAATGCTACTTTATGTTTTCAAAACATAGTTAATTATCCCTTGAGTTTTTATCTACTTATCCGTTATAAGATGGTTGTCTATGATACCTACTTTGAAAAGCAAAATGTATAATTAGAGCCCGTTTGGTAGCACAAAAATCGGCTGATTTTGCTGATTCTGCTGAAATTTATGAAGTTCTGGTTGAAGTGGATGCATTGGCTGATTCTGCTGATTTATGAAAAAAAAAATTTAAAAAATATTTTATTAATAAAATGAAGAAAAAAATATATGTAAAAATAGCTAAAATGATTATCTACAGTACTTTCAACCAAAACAACCAGAAAAGTAACTTCAACCTTACTTTTTCTGCTTATTACACAATTCAGCGCGCGAAATCAAAAGTTACGTGTTCGGTGAAATAGTTGGTTGATAAGCCTGATAAGCCGAAAAACAATGGTTCCAAATAGCCTCTTCGTCATCATAATTATAAGTCATACTTGTGGATTATAATTTGTTAATCTTAGCTACTCATGGAAGGAGTATTAATGACAGTAGATGAGGCAAATGAATCACAAGTAACAAGCATTATTAGATACATAAAAGAAGGTATCTAAAATATGTGTTCTAGGCACTTTTTCATTATAAATATAGAGCCCGTTTGGTAGCACCAAAATCGGCTGTTTTGGCTGATTCTGCTGAAATTTATGATATTCTGGCTGGAGTGGCTGTTTTGGCTGATTCTGCTGATTTAAGAAAAAAATATTTTAAAAATATATTTTATTAATAAATTAAAGAAAAAATTATATGTAAAAATAGCTAAAATGGTCCTCTACAGTAACTTCAGCCAATACAGCCAGAAAAGTAACTCCAACCTTACTTGTCACGCCCCAGACCGCGTCTGTGCCACGTGGACAACCGTCGTACAATCCAATAAGAATAACCGCAGTTCATCCTTACCGAATTGCACAAGACGTCCGATAGATACATATGCCAAAACCGATTAGTAAACATACATAACAACATCAACATACAATCAAACACATAGCGGAATATAAGTGTTTAATAAGAACCCACACAAGGGTAAAACAAGAGCTCGCAGGCTCCATTAATTTATAAGTCAAAATAGTTCCATGAGCATTATTTAATTATTTAGAAATAGAACCGGAGGAAGCACGAACCACGTCTTCTCTCCATCGATCTCCCTAGCAACGGGTGCAGGAAGTAAGCTCTAGCTTCAACCTGAAAGGGTGGTTCCCCCGAGGGATCAGTACTACAGAAAAGTACTGGTGAGGGCAAACTGTATGTAATGTAACTAACGTTTCTCACGCGAGACCCTCAAAATAGGGTGATAGTATAATTATGGGCATAACTCTTAGCTACCCCTTTTCAAAACAAAATGTATACATATATACATATGAGTAAAATATCTAGCCCGTGGGCCCATTTGTCTTTCAAATCATTTAGGCGTAACAGCCTCATTAAATTCATCCTTCCCATGCCTTACCCTCGAGTGGAGTCACCCGCAGGCTAACTCACTCGATACTAAAATATAATTACTGTGGGGCCCTTCGGACTCCCATATCCCAGACATGGTTTAAATCAATCCCTAGACCAAGGAAAATATTATATCGGGAACTCGTTCCCGATCAAGCACGTTTAATCATTTAAAATCATTACTTCGAGGTCCACCTACCTCGAGGACTATCCGTCCTTGCTATCATAGTTTTCATTTCCGGGTTAACCCCGCCTCGAGGAGTACGCATACACCCTCATCCTATGTGTAATTTACTGGAGGTCAACACACCTCAATGACTACATGGGCCCTTGTTACCTATATGCACTTTGATGGAGGTTAACACACCTCAAGGACTGCATTTGCCCTTGTTACCTATATGCAATTTGATGGAGGTTGAACACACCTCAAGGACTGCATTTGCCCTTGTTACCTATATGCAATTTGATGGAGGTTGAACACACCTCAAGGACTGCATTTGCCCTTGTTACCTATATGCAATTTGATGGAGGTTGAACACACCTCAAGGACTGCATTTGCCCTTGTTACCTATATGCAATTTGATGGAGGTTAAACACACCTCAAGGACTGCATTTGCCCTTGTTAACGTTTGAGTGTAGAGGACTCCTCCTGGTCCTACAGAGTATTATATAACCTTACTTGGTCCCGGGTATTCACCCGCCATTTATAATCTACCACGTGCCTCGCCCGGTCGTGGTCTATAATTTCTTTACTAACGACTAGTCCAAGTCTTAGCGTTTAAACCGTATTCCAAGCCTTATCATTTTAAACATCATATTTCATGCAATTCCATGCAAAATATTCATATATAGGATGACCAGAATTAATCCCACGTCGAACCGGGTCCGATTTGGGTTTTTAGCAAAAATCAGTCCTGAAAGCCGAGACATAACCGGCGCCGGTTTTACCCATAACCGGCGCCGGTTTACTGATTTTCTTGAGTAAACCGAACCATAACCGGCGCCGGTTTTGCCTATAACCGGCGCCGGTTACCCCCTGGGCAACCGGTCAACATTTTGGTCAACGCCCGTTTGACCATCCAAACGGGGTCCGATTTCCACGAAATTTTATACGCTTATGCAACAAGTCATTCTTAGTCCAAAAATATTATTTTGGACGTCCAAATCATCACACATAATTTATAATGATTTTCTGTCCAAATTAAAGCATATTAAATACACTTATTAATACTATTAATAAGTAAATCTTTCCTTAATACATTCTTAGATGTATTTAACATTTCATGGAATATCATTCTGTTTTATTTGAGTAATCTCATGCCCAAGCCCAGATCATGGCTCATGATCCTTTCTTACAACCTTTTATTCATACCATTAATTGATTAATCATTAATTATGTCATATTTCCATAATCCATAATTAATATGACTAATCACATATCACATATCTTTTTATATTTCTTTACTAGATAACTCTAGTTAATCACATACACGGTTCAAGTATACCTTCTTATTCATTTAAGAAAAATATACTCATGATTAATTAATAAATTAATCTATTTTTTTATTTATCATATAACACTTCCATAATCCATATTTAATATGGATAATCACAACTTTACAACCCTTTTATATTCACTTACTAGATTATTCGAGCTTATCTCATACATGGTTCAAGTATATCCCCTTATGCATTAAGAAATATATACTACGTACTAATGATTAATTAATAAATTAATCTATTTTTTTTCATTAGTCATATACACCATGACTAATCATGCATTTTAATCCATTTCATCATTTCTCAAATCATGGTTATGATTTTATTTAGGTAATCCCACGTTTGAACCAAGAGTTACAAGACACGTAGTCGTCCACTCACCTTGAAATGACGCTAGCGAGTTTTTATCCCCTTTGTTTGAACTCCGGCGACCTTTGAAATTTCCGGCAAAAACTCCGGCGGCTCCGGCGACTTTCCGGCCACTCCTAGGTTCCTTGAGAAGTCTAGAATACCTTGGTAAAATTCCTAACAAGGTTTCACAACCAAGAGTGGTATAAACATCAAAACCTTCCAAGAAGGTGTTTTCCGGTGAACCGGTCTTACTCCGGTCATAACTCCGTTTATGGTTAAACTTAACCTTCCAAACCCTCATTCTACACTTTTAGAAGTGTAGAACAAGTTCAAAAGTCTACCATATGATTTATAAAATCATATGAGATTGAAATGAAGGGAGAAAAATACTAATGAAGTCATTACCTTGATTTTTCTAAGTTTTCTTCATTTTCTCCAAGCTTTTCTTCTCCCTTGAACCTCCTCCAACCTTGAGCTCGGTTATGGCTATGGAGAATGAAGTTTTGCAGAGGTTTCTTCTCCCTTGAGTTGGCTTGGACGAAGCAAAGAGAGGAGAGAGGGTGAAGAGACAATTTTTGTCTCAAAAAGCCAATTAGTAATGGGAGAGGGTCCCTCTACCTTTCAAACTTGTCTAACCCATCCCTTCATCCATCAAACACCTCATTTCTATGCTCACCACACTTATTGTTAGACCAAAAATCGTGGGGTGGCCCCCACTCATGTGGGAGGTCATCCCAATATGTCCCGAAGTGTACATTCGGCCCCGAAAGTTGTATTTTTTTCGGACTGTTTTAATTAAATTTCATTTTATCGGGTCAAGTAAAATATATATCATTCTTTCAATTAATATTGGACTCTAAAATGAATATATATTACCCCACTTTAATTTAGTGGTCCCCGGAATTTATTTCGGGCTGTTATCTGATTAATTAACTAAACCGATAATGAGACCTTGTTTGATCGAAAGGCCAACTTTATGGCTCAACATTAATTTACACCATCATATAAATATTATCTAAACCAAGATGAATATAATATGTGGTCCGTAAATATCGGATGGTCGCCGCCCACGTTTTGGGCTCAACGTGTATTTTACTGTTGAAGTAACAGTAAAAATGAGAACGCGTTGCCTCGAAAATTCACTCGTCATTTCTCATTACTTAATATGTGGTTTCATATTTGGTGACACTTTAATAAAATGTTACACTTATTTTTAAGTGGTCCGAACTGTATGAACAGATAAAATCTTATCTGTTTATTCTTATACAAAATATCTCCAAGGTAGGGTCCTCCAAAAGTACCCACCTCTAACATGTCAAGTTGCTCATTATTATCCATCATCCCATGTTTTGGGTCCTTAAAATAATTATATTCCTCCTGTCATTAATTCGTAGCCTTCCGAATTATTATCAGTCTGATAATTAAAGACTCACAATTATCGAATAGTGACACCGACCCGCTTGGCCGTCTAGTTGTCATTCTTTATATTACCGGGGTCCAGGAACCATCCATACTATCATAATAGTATCATTTTGATAAACATTAATATTTTATAAACTCGAAATATCATGAGTGGTCCCCACGTCTAAATTAATAATCCTTTATTAATTTAAGACAAAATTTTTACTTTCTCATTTATCAAGACTACTCTTAGCCTTGATTTACCTTCTTTAACCCAGTACTTGATGAAAAAAATTTTTCACAGTAAAATTCGGGTCTGGTGTTACAAGTTCACCCCACCTTACAGGAATTTCGTCCCCGAAATTAACGTCTGAACCTTGAGAAACATTTCTCCCTTCATTTTCTGAAGCTAAAAATTTTGAACATAAAACTATTTATGGAAATTAAGGTTTAATTTAATAATACCTTATGCCATAGTCGGGCCTAACAAATGGCTTCCGCCATTCCCGGCCTTCACGAGCGAGTTCGCCATTGACTTGTAGAAGGTACCATGTTTGAGGCAACCCTAGTTGGGTTTTCAACCCCCGTGACCCCTCCTCTAGCTCCTGATGTTCCTTCACGCGTACGTTGAGGACAAAGGACCTTGATGTGGCCTGTTTCTCCACAAAAGTAACACCTAGATGGCTCTCGACATCTCCCGTAGTGCCTTCGCCTACAATTCTCACATTTGGGTGCCCCCGTGCCTCGAGTTCTTGAGCTTTGACTTACCAAGTCCTGGATCTCATTGAAAAACGGAACTAACCTGTTAGAGTTCCCCTTGCTCTGAAGTTCATACTTCCCCTCTCGTCGTGGAGGGTGAATGATCACCTGATCTCTTTCTTGTGCTTCCTTTGCATCCCTTGCTTGTCTTTCCTTCCAAAGCTCCTCCCCCTGGAGACCTTGGGCTACTACTTGACTAAAAGTCATGTTGAATTGGTAGGTCGCTCTTTCGCGTATTTCCAAATTGAGTGCATTCCAAAAATGATTTGCCATTCGGTTCTCATTTGCGGCATACTCAGGCAAGAACATTGCCAGATGTCGGAATCTTTGTTCCAGTTGCTTCACCGTAAACTCATTTCCCTGTTTGAGATCGATATATTCCCTCCTCTTTCGATTTACTTCGAAAGAGGTGTAAAACTGCTCATAGAATGCTTGCTCGAAGTTGTCCCACGTGACAACCCCGTCAAACTTACCCTTGGTGCCTTCCCACCAAGTAGAAGCTAAACCCTCCAATAATCTAGTGGCTACCCTTAACTTTCTTTCAGGGACCACCTGCATGTCCTCAGCTGCATCATTTAACCTTTTTATCCACTCGGCTGCTTCTGATATGTCCCCCGTCCCATCAAATGGTTTGCACCCCAAGGCTCTAGCCTCTTTGAGGTACTTTGAGATCTTAATGAATGGTCCTTCGTCATCAGAATCTCTGACTGTCCTAACTTGTGCTCTATGAGCACCCCGACCCCTCCTGAGAGAGGTCTCGCCTTTGACATGTCCCTCCTGAGATCCCTGTCGTTGTCTTCCCCTTTCACGTTGGTACCATCGGTACATCTCACTAACATGGTCAGGAGGAATACTTTGTACATCCTCTCCACTGTTTTCCTGAAAAGAAGTTTCATCTGACTCGCTTTCAGGGTGATAAGTTGAGTCATCCTCCGAGTTCCACGACTCGAATTCAGTCACATTGTGATCAGCCATCGTGGCTCGTGTTCGTGGGCCTTGGTTGCCCATACCTCGCCTTTTACGCGACCTTGATATTCCCCGATTGGCTTGCCCGGCTATCCCCGGTGTGCGCCCTCTCGGATTTCCTCGAACCGCCCTATCACTACCACCCATTCCTGAAAGAATATGTTGGAGTGAGTCTTTGGACTCGTTTGAATGTCAATTGACAGACACGTACTCAAGACACAACTTAGCTCAAGTCACTGTCATACCAATTGTTAAGGGGCCCATCTTAACAACCAGAGACCTTGCAACTCGATAACCAAATGCTCTTAAAGTACAAAACTTATGCTCATGGTTTTTCATTGAAAACTGTTTTGATAGAAACTCTGTTGAGAGGTTGACTATATAGTTTAGAAATCGTTTGGCTCTGATACCACTTAATTGTCACGCCCCAGACCGCGTCTGTGCCACGTGGACAACCGTCGTACAATCCAATAAGAATAACCGCAGTTCATCCTTACCGAATTGCACAAGACGTCCGATAGATACATATGCCAAAACCGATTAGTAAACATACATAACAACATCAACATACAATCAAACACATAGCGGAATATAAGTGTTTAATAAGAACCCACACAAGGGTAAAACAAGAGCTCGCAGGCTCCATTAATTTATAAGTCAAAATAGTTCCATGAGCATTATTTAATTATTTAGAAATAGAACCGGAGGAAGCACGAACCACGTCTTCTCTCCATCGATCTCCCTAGCAACGGGTGCAGGAAGTAAGCTCTAGCTTCAACCTGAAAGGGTGGTTCCCCCGAGGGATCAGTACTACAGAAAAGTACTGGTGAGGGCAAACTGTATGTAATGTAACTAACGTTTCTCACGCGAGACCCTCAAAATAGGGTGATAGTATAATTATGGGCATAACTCTTAGCTACCCCTTTTCAAAACAAAATGTATACATATATACATATGAGTAAAATATCTAGCCCGTGGGCCCATTTGTCTTTCAAATCATTTAGGCGTAACAGCCTCATTAAATTCATCCTTCCCATGCCTTACCCTCGAGTGGAGTCACCCGCAGGCTAACTCACTCGATACTAAAATATAATTACTGTGGGGCCCTTCGGACTCCCATATCCCAGACATGGTTTAAATCAATCCCTAGACCAAGGAAAATATTATATCGGGAACTCGTTCCCGATCAAGCACGTTTAATCATTTAAAATCATTACTTCGAGGTCCACCTACCTCGAGGACTATCCGTCCTTGCTATCATAGTTTTCATTTCCGGGTTAACCCCGCCTCGAGGAGTACGCATACACCCTCATCCTATGTGTAATTTACTGGAGGTCAACACACCTCAATGACTACATGGGCCCTTGTTACCTATATGCACTTTGATGGAGGTTAACACACCTCAAGGACTGCATTTGCCCTTGTTACCTATATGCAATTTGATGGAGGTTGAACACACCTCAAGGACTGCATTTGCCCTTGTTACCTATATGCAATTTGATGGAGGTTGAACACACCTCAAGGACTGCATTTGCCCTTGTTACCTATATGCAATTTGATGGAGGTTGAACACACCTCAAGGACTGCATTTGCCCTTGTTACCTATATGCAATTTGATGGAGGTTAAACACACCTCAAGGACTGCATTTGCCCTTGTTAACGTTTGAGTGTAGAGGACTCCTCCTGGTCCTACAGAGTATTATATAACCTTACTTGGTCCCGGGTATTCACCCGCCATTTATAATCTACCACGTGCCTCGCCCGGTCGTGGTCTATAATTTCTTTACTAACGACTAGTCCAAGTCTTAGCGTTTAAACCGTATTCCAAGCCTTATCATTTTAAACATCATATTTCATGCAATTCCATGCAAAATATTCATATATAGGATGACCAGAATTAATCCCACGTCGAACCGGGTCCGATTTGGGTTTTTAGCAAAAATCAGTCCTGAAAGCCGAGACATAACCGGCGCCGGTTTTACCCATAACCGGCGCCGGTTTACTGATTTTCTTGAGTAAACCGAACCATAACCGGCGCCGGTTTTGCCTATAACCGGCGCCGGTTACCCCCTGGGCAACCGGTCAACATTTTGGTCAACGCCCGTTTGACCATCCAAACGGGGTCCGATTTCCACGAAATTTTATACGCTTATGCAACAAGTCATTCTTAGTCCAAAAATATTATTTTGGACGTCCAAATCATCACACATAATTTATAATGATTTTCTGTCCAAATTAAAGCATATTAAATACACTTATTAATACTATTAATAAGTAAATCTTTCCTTAATACATTCTTAGATGTATTTAACATTTCATGGAATATCATTCTGTTTTATTTGAGTAATCTCATGCCCAAGCCCAGATCATGGCTCATGATCCTTTCTTACAACCTTTTATTCATACCATTAATTGATTAATCATTAATTATGTCATATTTCCATAATCCATAATTAATATGACTAATCACATATCACATATCTTTTTATATTTCTTTACTAGATAACTCTAGTTAATCACATACACGGTTCAAGTATACCTTCTTATTCATTTAAGAAAAATATACTCATGATTAATTAATAAATTAATCTATTTTTTTATTTATCATATAACACTTCCATAATCCATATTTAATATGGATAATCACAACTTTACAACCCTTTTATATTCACTTACTAGATTATTCGAGCTTATCTCATACATGGTTCAAGTATATCCCCTTATGCATTAAGAAATATATACTACGTACTAATGATTAATTAATAAATTAATCTATTTTTTTTCATTAGTCATATACACCATGACTAATCATGCATTTTAATCCATTTCATCATTTCTCAAATCATGGTTATGATTTTATTTAGGTAATCCCACGTTTGAACCAAGAGTTACAAGACACGTAGTCGTCCACTCACCTTGAAATGACGCTAGCGAGTTTTTATCCCCTTTGTTTGAACTCCGGCGACCTTTGAAATTTCCGGCAAAAACTCCGGCGGCTCCGGCGACTTTCCGGCCACTCCTAGGTTCCTTGAGAAGTCTAGAATACCTTGGTAAAATTCCTAACAAGGTTTCACAACCAAGAGTGGTATAAACATCAAAACCTTCCAAGAAGGTGTTTTCCGGTGAACCGGTCTTACTCCGGTCATAACTCCGTTTATGGTTAAACTTAACCTTCCAAACCCTCATTCTACACTTTTAGAAGTGTAGAACAAGTTCAAAAGTCTACCATATGATTTATAAAATCATATGAGATTGAAATGAAGGGAGAAAAATACTAATGAAGTCATTACCTTGATTTTTCTAAGTTTTCTTCATTTTCTCCAAGCTTTTCTTCTCCCTTGAACCTCCTCCAACCTTGAGCTCGGTTATGGCTATGGAGAATGAAGTTTTGCAGAGGTTTCTTCTCCCTTGAGTTGGCTTGGACGAAGCAAAGAGAGGAGAGAGGGTGAAGAGACAATTTTTGTCTCAAAAAGCCAATTAGTAATGGGAGAGGGTCCCTCTACCTTTCAAACTTGTCTAACCCATCCCTTCATCCATCAAACACCTCATTTCTATGCTCACCACACTTATTGTTAGACCAAAAATCGTGGGGTGGCCCCCACTCATGTGGGAGGTCATCCCAATATGTCCCGAAGTGTACATTCGGCCCCGAAAGTTGTATTTTTTTCGGACTGTTTTAATTAAATTTCATTTTATCGGGTCAAGTAAAATATATATCATTCTTTCAATTAATATTGGACTCTAAAATGAATATATATTACCCCACTTTAATTTAGTGGTCCCCGGAATTTATTTCGGGCTGTTATCTGATTAATTAACTAAACCGATAATGAGACCTTGTTTGATCGAAAGGCCAACTTTATGGCTCAACATTAATTTACACCATCATATAAATATTATCTAAACCAAGATGAATATAATATGTGGTCCGTAAATATCGGATGGTCGCCGCCCACGTTTTGGGCTCAACGTGTATTTTACTGTTGAAGTAACAGTAAAAATGAGAACGCGTTGCCTCGAAAATTCACTCGTCATTTCTCATTACTTAATATGTGGTTTCATATTTGGTGACACTTTAATAAAATGTTACACTTATTTTTAAGTGGTCCGAACTGTATGAACAGATAAAATCTTATCTGTTTATTCTTATACAAAATATCTCCAAGGTAGGGTCCTCCAAAAGTACCCACCTCTAACATGTCAAGTTGCTCATTATTATCCATCATCCCATGTTTTGGGTCCTTAAAATAATTATATTCCTCCTGTCATTAATTCGTAGCCTTCCGAATTATTATCAGTCTGATAATTAAAGACTCACAATTATCGAATAGTGACACCGACCCGCTTGGCCGTCTAGTTGTCATTCTTTATATTACCGGGGTCCAGGAACCATCCATACTATCATAATAGTATCATTTTGATAAACATTAATATTTTATAAACTCGAAATATCATGAGTGGTCCCCACGTCTAAATTAATAATCCTTTATTAATTTAAGACAAAATTTTTACTTTCTCATTTATCAAGACTACTCTTAGCCTTGATTTACCTTCTTTAACCCAGTACTTGATGAAAAAAATTTTTCACAGTAAAATTCGGGTCTGGTGTTACATTACTTTTTCGGCTTATTACACAATTCAGCGCACGAAAGTAAAAGTTACGTGTTTGGTGAAAAAGCTGGCTGATAAGCCTGATAAGCCGAAAACAGAGTTCTCCAAACGGGCTCATAGTCTTATTTGCAATTTACCAAAAAAGAAATATAACAAAAAGAAATTGCGAGTAACAAATACGATTTATAATCATTGAAATAGATTATCTTGACTTTAAAAACATGCACTTTAAAAACCTTTGATTAAAAACCTTTAATTGTCAAACTTTGATTAGATTTGACAATTATAGGAAGTGTATGTGATTAATGTTGATCGGAGGGGTAAACATTTAAAATAACCAAAACCTGGGAGTAAAAAAATGTTTTAAAAAAAAAGACATATTAAATTAATGATTTTGACAATTAATAATTACTGTATAAATTAGTTATTATTCCGTATTATTTATTGTAAAATGCTTATATATATTAACTCCATCACACCAAGATAAACACTTATAACTCCATCACACTCCTTCAGACCAAATTTATTAATTTTATAATTAACAAATTGTTCTCAAACGGACTTTGTGTTGCATAACTTGCATTGGCTTTTGGCATTTTAATTCAGGGTTTTGTGAACTATACATTAATCTTATTTTTACATGTCAAACTCGCAACCATACAATGGAGCAAGGCTAGCTGATTGGCTAAAGTCTAATTTCAACTCTACTTTTGTTACCATTAATCAAATACGAGTACAAGAACAGAATCGTTCATTTTAAAAGCATAAATTAAAAGCTGTATAACACAAGTGATTACATAAATAATATTAATAAGAGAGAAACTACACTACACTAAATAAGTCGATTGACTTCATTCCAAATCATTCTGAACTTAAACAAACTAAATTAAATTAAACCAGATTTTGACAGTTAAAATATACACAGAGAACATATACCCACCTGACCAGACAAAATTAGTTCAAGTTTAAACAGATTGAACAAGATCAAATGAGAAATTTTCAATCCAATTACAAAAAAGATGACACCCATCTTTTAGGGCCCCAAGATCCAATCAGACAGTTATCTGGAAGACTGGAAGTAGGCAGATAAATTGAGCTGTAATCACACACGGATTGAAAGGAAGTGAGATCCCATACCAAACCTTTGTCTGGAGTTAAACCCGAGACCGCTCGACCTCTCTCTTGTGACACCTCTTCCTATAAGGTGAGTTACGCCAATTAAAATACGGTAAACCTATCCAAATCTCCGGGCTGTCACGTAATTACACGGAAAGAGGAGGGGCAATTTCGTTTTCAGACTCCGTCCAAATACGCTTTTGCAAGTTGATCACCCACTTGCAGTAGGCTGCCGCGATCTACTCGCTAAAATGTGTAATTAGGATCTTCCTTCTAACAAAACGCCCCTAATTATCCGCTAATATTTTCCACTTTAGTGTATCCACTACTCTGTCCACGGACCACACAATTACATGAGTAAATTAAAGCAACTGGTGGATACCAAATCCTTGCAGTACATAATTTATCATTTTCTCATATATTATAATGATTTGATTAGTTAGAGAGAATAATAAAGGAAAAAGTAGTAAAACAAATGGACCGGCAGTCCGGCGCTACTAATCTCTTCACACTTGACAATCCCATTAATTGACAACATTTATTCACTAGTCACTACTGTACGATTGTGGAAGAAAAAAAGTCCAAAAAATAATAAATTTATTAATATCGTTATGTCACTTCCTCTTTTATATGCTTAGCGTATGTATTAAACATGTTTTTAGCTTTTATGTAAATGATGAAGAAAACAAGTACGATAGTATGTTCTTTGCGAATTTTACTCGTCTCCATTAACTGGAAATCTTCATTAGGAGAGAGATAGAGAGAGGTGGAGAAATGGTGGGGTAGAAAAAAAGAAAAGATTATGTTTAATTATTTTTTTGAGAAGAGAGATAGAGTGAAAAAGAAATGGAGAGAGTAAATGGAGAGGAACATGAGCCCCTCTTTGCACCAGCGTATACATCATTCATATCATTGCTCTCACAAACATTTTACCACGGAAGTGTTTTGTACAAGACAAAGCAGTCCTTTCACTTTTTAAATTAAATATGGAGTATTAACTTTTTCTTATAATCAAATAGCTATTTCTAGCATTTGGTAGATGGTTGTTTTATGAGATATTACCCAAAATAGGATTAAAAAAATTAGAAAATTCCAAATTAGGACTGTCATGTTTTTATTCCCAAAATAGGACTAATTACTGACATGTTTTGGCAGTACCAGACTTCAAACATGGCAGTATTTTTGAAACTTGGCAGTAATTACTCCTATTTTATGAATAAAAACATGTCAGTCCTATTTTGGAATTTTCAAACTCTTTTAGTCCTATTTCGGGAACTTTCCCTTGTTTTATTTGGCTTTTAATATCAATAAATAAGGGGAAAACTTTCATTTTGATCCTCGTACTTTCATGAAAAAATCAATTAGGTCCTCGTACTTTTAAAAAGATCAATCAAGTCCCCGAACTTTGTAAAAACGTTCAATTGAGTGCATTTGCAGGTTACTTGCCATCAACAAATGCCTGATTGGGCTTCCACATGTGTGCCATGTCAGCATAATTATTATTGATTGGGCTGCCACATGTGCGACACGTCAGCGGGTGACCTGTTGACATGACAAGTAACCTACAAATGGACTCAATTGAACATTTTTTACAAAGTTTGGGGACTTGATTGATCTTTTTAAAAGTATGGGGACCTAATTGACTTTTTCATGAAAGTATGAGGACCAAATTGACAGTTTTCCCATAAATAAATAAAAAGCAACCCCAATAGCATTTCATGGGGGCTTTTAAATTTTGTATTATGTTTTTAGCTATCCTCTAGTTTGACCTGCTAAGTTATACTGAGTAAAAAAGATTTAATCCCACTTTTAGTCCACCTTTTGTGAGTTTTATGTCATTTTCACATTTAGTCAACGTCTTTGACTTTGATCCAGGGGCGTCTTTAACATTTCGGAGGCCCTAGACAAAAAAAGACGACGCAAAAATCATTTTAAAAAGAAATAGATTGAATAAAAAACACCATATAGAAAAAAGAATACTACATATTCCAAATGTATGATATAATATTGTTAATATTCATAAGGATACATTTTTAAATGCAGTAATACATTTTTAAACATATGCAGAATACATCACGAACTTGTACTTGTTCGTAATACCCTATTAACCTATTATTCTTGCCTTTTGAAGTGCAAAATAGTAACGAACCGATTAGTGACCTCAAATAATAATAAAAAAGAAATTGCTTTTAATACTTGTTTGTTAAACCTACTTATCTGCTACTCCCAATCTGCCGTAGTGCCACATACTAATACCTATTACGGAGTATTATTCTATTATTCTTAGGCTTTAGGCTTTAGCCCTTCACAGAATTACAGGCTATTACTCATAACCCATTTACACCTTTATGACCGAGGCAAACAAATGCATAAATAGTACCTTAATTATTGGTAATGTTACATTTTTATACCTTAACTTTTAAATGAATCAAAACGGTACCTTAACTATACATAAATGTTTCAAATGGAGATTTTATTCAAAATTTTAACAAAAAAAGTCCTTTATGACGATCAAAATTTCATGCGTAGAGTCACCCTATAGTGATCATATGGACAAAAATAAGGTGAAGTAGATTTTATGCATAGAATTCTGATTGTCACGTGTAATTTTTTGGTCGGAAATTTGAATAAAATCATAATTCGAAACATTTATGTATAGTTAAGGTATCATTTTGATTCATTTAAGAGTTAAGGTACCAAAATGCAACATTACCAATAGTTGAGGTACCATTTATGCAATTAACCCTCTAATTATTTTAGAGTGTAGAACTTTAGAAAATGAGACTTC